TATCACTACTACTATTACTACTACTACTACTACTACTACTACTACTACTACCACTACTACTACTACTACTACTACGACTACTACTACGTTTACTACTACTACTACTACTACTACTACTACTACGACTACTACTACTACTACTACTACTACTACTACTACTACTACGACTACTACTACTAATACTACTACTGCTACGACGACGACGGCGACGACGACGACGACTGATGCTACATGTTCCTCCCTCCACCTTGCGCTGTTCCTCCTGCTCCTCCCTCTTTTTCCACTCCAGCTCCTTTTGCTGCTCTTCCTCGCCGTCTTCTTTCCTCACTGGCACAATCATCCTCCTCCTGGTCCTCCTGGTCATTCTTCTGCGCATCCGCATGTTTCGCTTTCTCCGAGGTCCTCCATCCACCTCCTGCCTCCTCCGCTTGCGCACAAGTCGACGGGGTTCTTTTTAGAGCTCCAAGTCCGTTATGACATGCGTCGCCGAGAAGAGAACACATCAGCGCAATGGGAAGGGACGGGGGGAAAGAGGTAGGATGTCAGATCTGGCGCGAACTCGCCTAGATTGTCATCACCCGCCTCTCCCTCCCAACGCTCCTCCTCCTCCTCCTTTGCCTCCTCATCCTCTTTTCAGTTCCCTCCTTTTCCTTCTTTTACTTATCTTGCTCCTCCTCCTCCTGCTTATGTTCTTTTTCTGCTCATGCCCATCCTCCCGCTCCTCCTCCTCCTCCTCCTCCACGTTCGCTTCCTCTTCCTCTTCGTCCTCTTCGTCGTCTTCCTCCTCCTACCGACACGGCGCCCTGGCAGGCCCCGGGATGCAGAAAACTCCAACTTGTCCCAGGCCTTGCGTCCATACACCCACCGCAAGGACACAGTTGTTTTTCTATCCGTTGCCGCCTTGGCTAGGATCGTAGACTCATCCCCTGACCGCCTTTGCCTTTTTGTCCTCCTCCCTCCTTCTCTCTCTCCCTCCCCCCCTCCCCGCCGGGTGAAAACGAAGCAGGGGGGGTGTCGAGGTTGCTGTGGCGGTCTCCCAGGTGCGATGGGCCACATGCCGTAGGCACCCCCCCATATGGTGTGGAAGAGCGATCGCTGGCAGACGTCGGTGGAGAAGGCCGACGTTCATGGAGACAGCAAGGCGGCGAGAAGAGGAGGAGGAGGAGGAGGAAGAGGAGGACGATGAGGAGGAGGAAGAGAAGGAATGATAGGGAATAGGACGATGCGGAGGATGAAGATGAGGAGGAGGAGGAGGAGGAGGAGGAGGAGGAGGAGGAGGAGGAGGAGGGGAACTCTGTCCCACGCACCCGGCTTCGCGCCCCGCCCCCGCGGCCGCCTTCGGGGTGGGCCGGCCTCAGCGCGCCGCCGCGCCATCGGAGGCTGGCGGCGCGCGTGCCGCGAGAACCCCCAACGTATTGAAAAAAACAAGACGGACATTTTTCGCAATTTTCGGTCTCTAGGGGCCCTCGCCGGGCCTCGGGACCGTCAAAAAACGACTCAGGATGACAAACCGGTCGTGGGGAATGGGTCGAGACTTCCCGGGGCCCCGCATTAAAAAAATCACGACGTAGGATCTCAGGGAAGGTGACCACCCGCGGCTACAACATCACCCGCCAGCGGGTGAGCATCATCACCATGTCATCGGGTGGCTGCCCAACGTCAGGGCGGCCCTACATCCACAGCGTACGAGCCGGCGAAACTGAGCCTTCTGGCGCTACAATTGTTGGCCGTCTCGCCCGTCAACGGCGTCGCAATGTATACGAGGCGTGGGTGCGGTCTGGCAAGTACGACAACACGTGCGCCAGGAAGGGCGATCCTACGGCGGCGGACTGCATTCAGGCGAACCCCTACGTTCAGGCACCTAGTAGCAGAAGACAGGGGACCTGACTACAGCTTCAACGCCTCGCGCGCCAGAGGTCAATCACATCGTCGTAGAGGTACCAGCCCGGGACTTGTACGACTTCCAGTGCGGCACCTTCAACAACGGCGAGTACGACTAGTGCGACCAGTACGGCCAGGAATGCAGCCGCAGCCACAACGGGGGCGCGTACTACTACGAGATTGGTTCGCCTTTCCAGATGCTCTTTGGGAGCCATCAGCTTGCTGAGCTTCGAGGGCCACCAGCAGAACTACGACAGCAAGAAGCAGAACTTCGAGAACCACCGGGCGAGGAAGAGCGGGACTGGCCTTCGCTGGTCCCATTTCCGTCAGTTAGTTTCTTCCTCCTCCTCTTCAATTCGCGGCAATTGGGGAATCGATTATTACGACCTGGCAGCCGACGACTCCGATTTGGACCGCGGGGAGGCGAAAAGGCAGACGAGGAGGAGCCCAAGAAAGCAGACGAGGCGGAGGACTACGAGGAACGCTGCCTGAAGGAGAATCCCGACGCCTTCGTGACGGCCGCGCAGGCGCGCGAGGCTTCTCTTGCCAGGCGCCGTGCCATCGCAGGCCGCACCAAGTGGCTACGAGGGCCACCAGCGGAACTACGAGGGCCACTTGCCGAGCCACGAGAGCCACCAGCAGAGCTACGAGGGCCACGGGCTGACCTACCGGGACCTCGCGCGGAGCTACGAGGGCCACAGCCTGAGCTGCGCGGGCTAGCTACATGCAGAGATACGGAATCTTTCGTAGAGCTACCAGGGCGACAAGCTGAACTGCAAGGACAACGAGCAGAGCTTCGAGAGCCACCAGCTCAGCTACGAGGGCCACAAGCTGAGCTAGTGAGCCACCAGCGCAGCTACGAGGGCCGCAAGCTGAGCCACGAGGACTGCCAGCTGAGCCACGAAGGCCACCAGCTGAGGTAGCAGGGCCGCCTGCTGAATTACAAACGCCATCAGCTCAGCTACGAGGGCCACGAGCTCAGCTACGAGGACTGCAGAGTGAACTACGAGGTCCACAAGCGTGGCTACGAGGACCACCTGTTGAGCTACAAGAGCCACCAGTGGATCTGCGAGAGCCACCAGCTGAGCTACGAGGGCCACAGGCAAAACTGCGGGAGCCCCCCCGCACAGCTACCAGGGCGACGAGCTGAACTGCTAGGGCCACGAACAGATCTTCGAGGGCCGCCAGCCACTTGGTGAGCTACCTGGGAAACAAGTTGAGTTACGACTGCCGCGAGCTGAGCCACCGGTGGAGCTACGAGGGCCACCAGAGGAGCGACGAGAGCAGCCACCTGAGCTACGATAGCCGCCAGCAGAACTAGTCGGGCTACAGGAAGCCGAAGTTCCTGAACACGCAGGACCACGACAAGGAGTGCCAGCTTGATTTGTCGGCCTTCAGGGCCAAAGGTGCCACAACAGCCTCGAGGGAACATTGGGCGCATGGGATGCCATTGCGGGGCGCTGGGCATTCCGATCGGAATCGGTGGCTTTCAGCGTCAAGAGTGCCAACGTCGAACCCATCGACAAGTACCCCAAGAAAGGACTCGCCATCATGTACCAAGAACGGCTCGAGCCTACCAGTATCATGGCCCGATGCACAATGACTATGTGTTCGGGCGCCTCTACTACCTCGCAGCCTCTGAATGCCAGCGAGGGGTGGCCAATTTCTTCCTCGACGTGTTCCGGGACGAAAGCCTGTTCGACGTAGTCCCCGATCGGATGACGCAATCGCTACGGTGACACCAGCCCACCAGAAGCCATTGATTATGGCTCCCTAGCGTACTATATCTCCTTTTGATGCCGGCCGCATTTGTTCTACATCGCTGCGGACAAGGGCATTACGTATATGTCGCCACGTACGACATGCCATGCCTACAACATTCATCCGGTGTTGAGACGATGGACCGCGCTTCATCTACAGCGTTACGGACAAGGTACGCCATGTACAAGGCTACAAGCAAGGTGCTGCGTTTAAAGCGCTACAAGCAAGAAGCTGTGTGCACAGTGTTGCTTGCAACGTACTGCGTCTACGGTGAGTTTTTCTGCAACGGCTGAGTGGCCCCGACGCTCTACCACCCCTTCCCCTCCCTTCGGTGGGCTCAGGACGGTTTGAGTTGGGTGTCTGTGCCCCTTTCCCTCCCTGCCACACTCTGCGAAAAAGAGTCGACCCCCGTGTCGTCGGCCGGCGCCCGCGCGCGCACGGGTGGCGGCGGCTGCGCGGCGGCGACAGGGAACGCCCGATGGCGCTGCGAGTGGCTGCGAGAGAGATCGCCCGATGGCACTGCGAGAGAGAGAGAGAGAGAAACCAAAAAAGAGGAGAGAGAGAGAGAGAGACAAAAAAAAGAAAGAGAGAGAGAGAGAGAGAGAGAGAGAGAGAGAGAGAAGAGGATGAGGATGATAATGAGTATGATAATGAGGATGATAATGAGGATGGGGATGAGGATGAGGATGGGGATGGGGAGGAGGATGATGATGATGAGGAGGAGGAGGAGGAAGAGGAGGAGGAGGAGAGAAGGAGGAGGAAAAGGAGGAGGAGGAGGAAGAGGAGGAAGAAGAGGAGGAGGAGTTGGAGTTGGAGTCCCTGGACGTAGTCCTTCCACTCATCACCTACACCCCTTCAGGGCTTTACGAGCTAATTCCGCTTTACTGTAGACTTTGGGCCATTGCCCCAACTTAATCAAACGAAGGTATTCACTCCTCGTCGCGGTGGGGCGGGGGACACAGGCCTTCCCGAGGCCGCAAAGCTGCTGGTCCCCATACATACCACAACTCGCACAAAACCAAAGCATTAAATCAGCGTGAAACCTCATACAATGGGTGGGGTCCACAAACCCCCCAGCAATGTGAATGGTGGCCCCCTCAGGAAGTGCACGAAGGGAGCAATCGAGAGCCACTAACCTGAAACACGGAGACTTACGCCAGACCGAAACGCGCGCAACAGACGCGGACCCGCGGCGCCGCAGACAACGCCGCCCACACTCAGACAGGGCATGGCTCGTCTCAAAAGCCGATAGAATATTCTGACACGGGGGCGGGGGAGGGGGCGGAGGGTCGGCAGCAGCAGCAGCAGTAGGCTCACCGATCACCACGGCTTCCCTCCGTCCCCGAGCTCCTCGCCTCTGGTGCCGACCGTTCGGCGGGTTCTCCTGCAGCGTCTTCTCGGCCTCCATGGCGTCGAGGTGCGACCTGAGAATCCTCGTGCGGATAAGGTACAGCACCCTCTCCTTTTCCAGAATGTCGGTGCGGACAGCTTCGGGTATGCGGGCGATGATCGCACCTTCACCTGCCAAAGTGTCCGCTGCTGCGTTGCCAACCGTCATCCATGACGAGCCCGCTCGATGCACGACGTCCTCGGCCTCCATGTGCGAGTTCGTAAACAATACTGTCACATGCTCAGGCCGCCGTCCCGTGTTATGAAACAACAGCCCAATCTTCGCCCACAGCTCTGCGTGCTCTCCAGTTGGATGACGATATTTCTGAGACCACCAACCTTCATGCACCATCTGGTTGTCCGTCACATACGTTACATATTGTTCCGTCAGCCGCAAGGCTACCCAGAAGATATTCAGCTCACCTCTGGGCGCCGTCTGGACAACTCCTGGGAGGGCTCCAAATAGGGATACTTGCAGCTGGAGGTCCGTTTCGCTTTCCATCTGCGCGAGACCGAGACCGATACGTCTGAACCTCCCATCCGATGAATCTGCCCCGCCGCTGGCATCGCCAAAAAGCAGCACTGGCCTGGCACACTCGCCTGGCCCTAGGACTCCATCAGCAACACCATCGTTGAGCCCCGTCTGGAACCAAGCCTCCTCATCAGGCGGCTCAGGTACCACTGTCCACTGTGCTGGCATGGCTCCACGGAGCCAGTACGCTGGAGCAGACTCATGTTGAGAGGCAGCTTGCATATATACCTCGTCCGACTTGGTGTAGATAGGGTGATTGACGTTGTGCTCGCATTCCCATATTCGATGAAAAGCTGACTCATTGCGTCTTTTGCAGCGAGGACACAGTGCACAAACTTGGACCTTGGTGGAGGCCTCAGCTCGACGGAGCCTCGGCCACGACCCTCCAGCAACTACCGTCGATAACAACTCAGAGAGCCTGCGCCCACGTGGAAGCTGCTCCAGGTGCTTCAGAAGCCGCTGCAGAGATACAACATCCATGCCTTGCCCAAGGCCTTCCCCACAAAAATGCTTCTCAGCGGAGGCCCACACGAGCCTCTCCGACGATCTGTTAAAATCCAGGAAAAAAAGCTCGGTGT